AGTGACAAATATTTCTGATTTTATGGAAGGACTAAAAGGGCATTTTTATCTATAGTATCTATTCTGCAAGAACCACAGTTAAGGATAAAAGCTATTTTTATTTTTTATTTTTTTCAATTTTTCAAGAGCAAATGTGGTGATAGTCTGAAACCAGAAAAGGGAACATTTCTCACTGAAAATGGTAAAAGTTTGTCTTAAAAAGCATTTGTCAGTGTTTTCTTTCCTCTCTGCTGGGGCAGAGTCTTGCCACACAGTTCCCACTGCAGCAAACTTTTTGTTTGTAATGTGTCAGCAGAAATGTCCCTAAAGTTACTTCATCTAATTCTTCACAATACACTTTGGAAGGCTGTCCCCCATGCATCATCCTAACATTGTTTGGTCCTGATAGCATTCTGTGTGTGATGCTCCTGGTCGGGGGAAAATCTGTGCCTTGTAATAACTGATTCAATAAACTGTTGACAAATGAGTTGTGTGATACAGTATGGCCAGTGAGCAAAGTTTGTCTCCATCATTACATACCATATTCAAAGCATCCACAAACACTGTGTCCCTCCCTCATATGCTAGGGCTCCTTGCACCATTCTGAATAGCAATCCACAGATCAATACACTGTCTGCTGAAAACAACAGGACATAACAAATGAATGATTTTATTTACAATAAAAGCCCCAGTCACCAAATGGATTCCACTCATGTTCAAATTCATTTTTCATGCTCAGCTCGAGAGGAGAGGCAGACAAAGCATAACACAAGGGGAGGGGCAAGGAGAGGTATGAACTGTAATGGTGCCAATTTATTTAAGCCATGAACAAGAGCTGAGCTGCATTGAAACATGTGAATAAAATGTTCAACAAAATTCTGAAGACGCGATTCTTCAAAACGACTCTGGTCTCTCACCAAGAAAGCTTGAAAAGCATTTTCCTGTACTCAGAAATTAATGGATTAAAGACATTCTGACATTCTTTTTCATGTGTTGTACCACAGAGGCCAAAGCCTATTCAGTTAACTCTAAGAACTTGGCAAGGAATGGGAGTATTTGCTTTCTGTGTGAGGGGAGGAACTGAAGTGGTGCTTTTGTGAATGAAGCATTGCATACCTCTGCGGCAGAAGCCTGCCTCTGGCCCTTGCTCTGACAGTTCCTTTTCTACTACAAAAACGATCAAAAAGCCAGGGATAAGGAGACGCGGAGATGACTCAGGAGAGAGAACCTATCAGGCAAGCATGCAGACCTAGGTCTGAATGCCCATAATTCTGACATGGTAGCACACGTGTGCGATTCAATGCTTGCACTGCTGTGGTGAGATGGGTGCTACAGACAGGAGACTCCCAAGAAGCCAGTCTGTGTACACAGAAGCGAAGAGTAAGAGACTCAGACTTAGGTAAGGGCTGACACCTGAGCTCTCTCTCTGAGCTCCACATGTGTGCCCACCCACAGATGCAGACACACATGAAAACTTTTTTTTAAGTCAATAAGAAAAAAAAGGGCTAGTGGGGATATCAGTTCAAAGATAATGCTTACAAGTTACAAGTCATTCATTAATAACAAACCCCCCCCCACAGGGTGCCTGGATATCATTTTTAACAAATAACTGTTCAACGCAAATCACTCCATTTTATATGAAGTTACTATAAAACTACTGTGAAAAATATAAAACTGTCAACTGAACATTTCTAGTGGCCATCAACTTGTTCACTCTTTTTGGACTTAACCCCTAGTCAACACACAACTGAAAACAGAGTTGTAACTGACAAAACAGGATTGGGAAAATCAGGGAAGTCAGCCTCAACACAATACTAGAAACACTGAAATAGTGCAGTGACATGAATTGGGTCTGGGCTTCGGAATACAAAAAAGGCAGACGTTAGCAGGCCTGATTGCCTCGTTCTAGCAACTAAACCACTGTATTTGCTCTTGCTGTCTGTAGTTTCTGCTTTAATTCTAGTTACTGTAGTACTTAGATGCTAGGGAAATGGTTAAGAACAAGTCCCACAGAAAGAAATGATTCTATGCAGAGAAAAGAATGCACAGAGCAAGGGTTGAATGAATCAGTGCATGAAAAAGGAGTGAAATGTCATAAACAATGAGGATGTCTTTACCAAGAGAGGGAAGTATTTACCATAGCAGCATAGTTGAAATGAAAAGTCTGGGGAGAGCCACGGGTAGAAGAGAGCAGAGTAAATGGAAAAGGGAGACATAGGGTTAGCAGATAGCTGGAAAGACAGAAACCAACATAACGTTCTAAATACCTTTGGAACTTGTCACACAGTTTGGGCATTTTAAAAAATGATCTGCCAACAAGGGAAGTGAAAAATGATATGGTCAGAAGCTGGGGGGCCGGGGAGAAGCCTAGAGGCAGAGGTTGAAGAGCACTCGGTGATCCACACGACAGGGTTAGGCTAGGGCAGGCAGGACAGAATGCTGGCAAGGGTAGAAGGCCCCTCACTATTGATTTTATGAAAGGAGCAGAGAGCGCTAGCCACAGATACAACTCCCAAATCTCAGGATAAAAGGCCATGGCTTTCTGCAAGCAAGTGAATGCCTGCTAAGAAGCTTCTCACAGCTGTGACCAACCAAGTCTGCAAAGGTAACGTGAAGGTTACCTAACAATGTAGGAAATCACTGTCTTGATGCGTGGCCTACTGGCTCCAAGACTCAATAGCAGAGATGTGAGGCAGCCTTGCACAGTGGGCTGGTTCCCAAAGCATCCCCACTTTCACGTCCTCCTCAGACAGGAGCAGGTTTCTTCTAAACATGGTCATGCTTGTTAATTCTGGACGATCTCCTACATGCTCTTGGAATCCTCTCACAGATATGGTAACTTGAAAGGACTCACTTTCAAAATGGTGACTCCAGGGCAGTATTTTCACTAAATGCTCAGGATTCACTTGGGGCTCTTTCCGTAGAAGAAGGCATGTATAGGTTCTGTGTCAGATATTTTCCCAGTCTTACTACCACACTTTCACCAATGGTTCAAGTTATTAATTATCAAGTTATGAATAAAAACTCACAAAGCAAAGTCTCCTCCATCCTTAACCACTTAACATACAGTATGTCCATGTGACATCATGTTTCCCTAGTCCACGGTATGAAGATTCAGTCATCTAAATACTCATTTTCATCCCAAGTTCTCTTTCTCTTGTAAAAGTCAACTCAAGCTAGCATGTCGAAAACAATGGAATATTACACCTTTGTTCTTTTGCCATCTGACTATATTTTTCTTTAAAGATTCTCCAAGACAAAATGATCAACAAAAACTTCCAGTGAAACCAAAGGGAGAAATAAAAATGCTTGTAGTCAATGCTTGTAGTCCAGGAAGTTCGGGTCCGTTTCAAGAATGCAATATAAACTTAATCCAAAACTTATAAGCTGTTCTGCTGCCTAGTCTTTCTAAATCATGCTGGCTTCAGCTTTTCCCTTTCGCAAGCAGAGAAAGCTAGCCTCTCAATAGTGAGCACTTAGGCTCAACTTTCCCTTTAAAATTTTATAAAAAGAGATTTAAATGTTAGAAAGAATAATTTTCATAGAACATTGCTACTCATTTATAACCTCTTCATTGTTTTCATAAATTTGCAAATGTTAATCAGGCTAAATTTGGGCTCAGGACTTTGAGAGAATACTATAGAACCACAATTTTATTTGTTAAGGCTGAAAAAAATTACTCCAAAAATATCTTGAAATATGTATACATTGAGGACCATAGTAAGGAATTCACTTCAAAGCCAAACCATGGTTCAGTGTGGAAAATACAAATTATCTTAAAACATGAAGCTTGTTACCCCTTGCACAATAAAATAAAAAGATAAAGAAAAATACTATGGAAATGCCATAAAATCCACAGGTACACAGCCAAGGGGGGGGGGTGTTTAGCATGACAAAACACCTCCACTGAGTGTCCCATCCATTGCAACCTCCACTGCCTAGGAGGATGAAGCTCCTACTGAATCCTGTAGAAAGTTCTTCCAACAAAACAAAGTTACTCAACCAGCACTCACAGCGGAGAATGCCCTAGAAACGAGGGGTTTTCCCAAGAGAAAGTGATGTTTCAAGTTCCAACACAGACCACAATATTCATAACATGTTCAACTGTGTCTCACAGTAAGGTCAGAAGCTACACCTGTAAAGTCTCACCAATGAGTTTGTCCAAACATGAGCTGAAACAGGACAACACTAATCAATGAGAGAAAGTGGATGGAGAAGACCAGGAGCTGTTAGCTCTACACAAAAAATTGTAGGCAACTAAGGAATGCTGAGAGTGGGAGAAATAGTCTTCCCTAGGGAAGACATACCAACTAGTTATCCAATACCAAATCATCAGCCCTGAAAATACACATATTAGGAAAATTATATACACCAACCAGGTTATGTTTAAAAATACATATGCATATACATGAATATACATGCATATACACATATATGTATTAGCAACAGTTAATGAAAAACAAGGACATTAATTTGTAAAAGAAAGAGAAGAGATACATGGGAGGGCTTGGAGAGAGGAAAGGGAAAGGGGGAATGATGTGATTATGTTACAATTTCAAAAATAAAATAAAAGCATAAATTTAATAATCTCCACTAAGAAGAGAAACAGTCCCTTTCTAATTCTCCTGCAGTCCTTTAATTCCACATCAGAGTCACCATCCAGTTTCTAACCCTCCATTAAAATTCACAACGAATAAAAAGTGCCCATGATATTCATTGGACCAATTTTAGAAACACCTATTTATTTACACAGCTATGGTAGTGAAAAGGTCAACCAAAAATTCCCATCCAAAGCTACAGTTGCTAAGCAACCCTCCTTAGTAGTTCTGCAACATTGCTCAAGCATATTGCAGGTGCCACCAACTGGATTCAAAGTAAATATGAATAACATCTTACCTGGTCACTTTGAATGTGGAGGAAGGGAGATTCCTTGCTTACCTTTCAGGGACAAACAATAAAGGCTGAATCTATATTGACTTGGAGGGTTCGACACAAATGCTTCTTTTACAAGAAAAGGATACGGCCAGGTACAACGGGCTTCCTATTCACCAAGGCGAAGGACAGTTCAGTTTTGAGAAATACCACAGAGGGCTTGATAAGATGTTGGCCAAATCTAAATGACATGGTCTCACAGTGAAATCTGAAAGAGGAAATAATTTAGAAAATAAGCATTCAAAAGAGCTAGCTAGTAACTAGGTTCATTAGAAGGCAAATTTCATTAGTGAAAATTCTTAAGTGCAAAGAGAATGCCATTTAAACTGGGCCCTTTAAATCTCCCCTTAGATGAAGTCCAGGTAAGTGCTCTTGGCATATTCCCATCTCCCTGCAATGTTGCCTTGATTCCAGTAGTGCTGCCAAGCAGCAGCTATACCATGGGTGACAAAGCAGTTTGTCATGCCTAAACTCTCTGGCCCTTCAGGGTGTCACCTCAAATCCACAAAGTCCTGTTTGTTCGATACTTAATTTTGCCATTGACCTGCTCATCTCTGTTTATATGGAAATATCTACTGTAAAGTACTGAGTACAAACCTAATTCTTAAAGGCTTCTTTCACATGGTTTTATCTTTGTTTGTATAGCAGCAATTTAGCACAGGAACAAACACTGTCTAACCTCACCTACAATGACAAAACACGCATTCCCTGAGAACTATTGCAATTCAATTGCCAAAATTGGAAAAACAAAAAAACGAAGGAATGAGCAAAACAGAGTTTCAGATGATACTAGCTCCCGACTCATGCAGACATAGCCCAGACAAGGAAAGCTATTTTTTCCCTGTCCTTCTTTGAGGAGAGGCCCAATGACAGCAATCAAATGTCCCCTGCGAGCTTATGTGTTGAGAGTACTTGCTGCCACTGCCCTGGGGGTGGGGGTCTCAAATTTAGGAGAAGGGGGTGGTTGGAGGAGGTAGAAGACAGGGGGCAGAGCCAGGGCTTTGAGATTATGCCTGCCTTCTGGTGGGTGTCTCTCCATTTGCTCTATGTGGAGAGATAAATAGCTTGCTCCCACAGCCATGATTTTCTGCAAATTAGAACTCTGAAACCCTGAACCAAAATAAATCCTTGCTACTGCAAGGTATTTCTAACAAATCTTTTGTCACAGCAATGTAAAAAAAATAATGAACATGAGAAACAATGAAATGAAATTGGACACTTGGAACACTGAGCCAAAGCTATCCATGCCCCAGGAACAATCTTAGCGAGGGAGGTGATATCTACACACGCGTGACCCTGTGTGACTAAGGCCCCTACATGTGTGTACGTCAAGAGCCACTCACTAGAGATCTATAACCAGAGACCAACTTACATGAAACCCAGAGATGAAAGATGAAGATGAAAAATCAGAAGAAAGGATGAAGTTAGGAAAACGGAAAGCTTTTTTTTTTTTTTTTAAAGTAGACCAATAAATGCATAATGATTTAGTGAGTCAAATGTTTAAAGTGAGAGGTATGCAAAAGTCTTCCATTGTAGTGGACTAGAACTTGGCATATTTGGTACTAAGGACTCATGTCAAGGACAGAACATACCGGTTTTTAAAATACAACCAGCTCATAAAAATTAAGGCCAGTAAGGCTTTCAAATACCACCTAATCACGTGGCTTTTGGAGCATGCTCTCTGGGAAGCTTTCAGGAAAGTGAATTCGTATTTTCTATAGTTCCAGCCACGTTACCTTAAATTTTCTATGGTTGATGATGTCACCATGTTCTATGGGTAGCACTCTTCTTCTTTGCCTAGACCTAGGTCTTAGGAATTGCCCTTAGTACCCTTCGTCCTCTAGCACACTATTGCTTGGGGAGTGGATATGGGGCACAAAGTGAAAAAAATCAAAGACAAATCCTTCGGCCAGTCATTGTCAATGCTACAAAAGGCTTTTTGTTGGCGGTGGTGGTTTTACTTTACTTTTAGTTTTTTACAGTTAATTCACTTTATATCCCGATTGCAGCCCCCTCCCTTATCTCCTCCCAGTCCCACACTCCCTACCTCCTCTCCCCATATCTCCCTCCCCCAGTCCACTTGAAAAGGAGAGGCCTCCTCTCCTACTATCTAACGCTAGGCTATCAAGTCTCATCAGGCCTGCCCTGCCTGCACACTCTTCCTCAGTGGACCTGCAAGATCGCCCCAACAAGGGGAAGTGATCAAAGAGCAGGCAATTGAGTCAGAGACAGCCCTGCTCCCCTTATTAGGACACCCACAGGTTGACTGAGCTGCCCATCGGCTATATCTGAGCAGGGGGTCTAGGTCCTCTCTGTGCATGGCCTTTGATGCATCAGTCTCTGCAGGAGGCCCTGGGGCCAGATTTGCTGGCTTTGTTGGTCTCCTTGTGGAGCCCCTGTCTTCTCTGAGTCCTTCTATCCCCCATTCTTCCATAAGATTCCCTGTGCTCTGCCCAAAGTTTGGCTGTGAGTCTCCGCATCTGCTTCAATCCCCTGCTGGGTGGAGTCTTTCTGAAGACATCTATGGTAGGCTCCCATCCTGTTCCCTCTCTTCAACCCCTTTAGGTGTCTATTCTGTTTGCCCTACTGAATAAGGATTAAGGATCCTCTTTAGGGTCCTCCTTGTTGTGTGGCTTCTTGATGCCTGTAGATTTTAGTATGTTTATCCTGTATCTATGGCTAATATCCATTTATAAAGCAGTATTTACCATGAGTGTCTTTCTGGTTCTGGGTTACCTCACTTGGAATGATCTTTTCTAGTCCCATCCATTTGCCTGCAAATTTCATGCTTTCCTTGTTTTTAATAGCTATTCCACTGTGTAAATGTACCACAATTTCTGTATCCATTTGTTGGGTGAAGGACACCTAGGGTTTTGGGGTTTTTTTTCCAGATTCTGGCTATTACAAATAAAGCTGCTATGAACCTTGTTGTATGGTAGAGCATCTTTCAGATATATGCCTACGAGTGGTATAGCTGGGTCTTCAGGTAGGTAGCGCTATTCACAATTTTTTGTAGAAAGTACCAGATTGATATCCAAAGCGGTTGTACAAGCTTTCATTCCACTAGCAAGGGAGGAGGTGCCCCTTTCTCAACATACTCTCCAGCGGATATTGTTATTGTTACTTGAGTTTTTGGTCTTGGCCATTCTGATGGGTGTAAGATGGAGTCTCAGAGTGGTTTTGATTTGCATTTCCCTGATGACTAAGGATATTGAGCATTTCTTTAAGTGTTTCTCTGCCATTTGATAATCCTTAGTTGATAATTCTCTGTTTAGCTCTGTACCCCATTTTTTAATTGGATTATTTGGTTTGTTGGTGTTTAATTTTTTGAGTTCTTTATTTACTCTGGATATTAGTCCTCTGTCTGATGTAGGGTTGGTGAAGATTTTCCCCCAGTCTGTAGGCTGTCATGTTGTTCTGTTGACAGTGTCCTTTGCATTATAGAAGCTTTTCAATTTCATGAGTTCCTGTTTATTAATTCTTGATCTCAGAGCCTGGGCTGTTGATGTTCTGTTCAGAATGTTATCTCCTGTGCCAGTGAGATCAAGGTACACATTTAGTGTGTCTGTTTTTATGTTGAGATCTTTAATCCACTTGGACTTGGAATTTTGTGCAGGGTGATAAATATGGACCTATTTGCATTTTTCTATGTCTAGATATCCAGTTAGACCAGCACCATTTTTTGAAGATCCTATCTTTTTCCATTGTATGGTTTTAGCTTCTTTGTCAAAAATCAGGTATTCATAGGTATATGGGTTTATTTCTAAGTTTTTGATTCAATTCTATTGATCTACCAGTCTGTTTCTATGAGAGTACCATGCAGTTTTTATTACTCTTGCTCTACAGTACAGCTTTAGGTCATGGATGGAGATAGCCCCAGAAGAACTTGAATTGTACAGGGTTGTTTTAGCTATTCTGGGGTCTTTTTGTTTTTTCCATATAAATTTGAGAATTGTTCTTTCAAGGTCTGTAAAAAATTTTGTTGGCATTTGGATGGAAATTGCATTGAACCTACAGATTGCTTTTGGTAGGGTAGCCATTTTTACTATGTTAACTCTACTGATCCATGAGCATGGGATATCTTTACACCTTCTGATTTTTTTATTCTATTTCTTTCTTCAAAGACTTGAAAGTTTTGTTTGTTTGTTTGTTTCATACCAGCCTTTCACTTTCTTGGTTAGGGTTACACCAAGGTAGTTTATGTTTTTTTGTTTTGTTTTGTTTTGTTTTTGGCTATTGTGAAGGGTATTGTTTCCCTAATTTCTTTCTCGCCCTTTTGTCTTTTGTGTACAGGAAAGCTACTGATTTTTTGAATTAAATTTGTAACCAGCTATTTCGCTGAAGGTGTTTATCAGCTGTAGAAGTTACTTGGTACAATTTTTGGGGTCACTCATGTATACTATCATATCATCCAAAAACAGTGATACTTTGACTTCTTCATTTCAAATTTTTATCCCCTTGATCTCCGTTAGTTGTCTTAGTGCTCTAGTTAAGGCTCCAAGTACTAAACTGAAGAGATATGGAGAAAATGGGCAGCTTTTTCTTGTCCCTGATTTCAATGGGATTGATTTAGGTTTCTCTCCATTTAGTTTGATGTTGGCTATAGGCTTGCTGTATAGTGCCTCTACTATGTTTAGGTATGTGCCTTGTGTCCCTGATCTCTCCAAAACTTTAAACATGAAAGGGTGTTGGATTTTATCAAATGCTTTTTCGGCATCTAAGAAGATGGTCATGGTTTTTGCTGCTGTTGTTTTGTTGTTGTTGTTTGTTTTTGTTTGTTTGTTTCAGTTTGCTTAGATGGTAGATTACATTGATGGATTTCCATATATAGAACCACCCCTGCATGTTTGGGATGAAGCCTACTTGGTCATGGTAGATGATATCTTTGATATGTTCTTGGATTCAGTTTGCTAGTTATTTTATTGAGTATTTTTGTGTCAATGTTCATAAGAGAGATTGGCTTGAAATTCTCTTTCTTTGTTAAGTCTTTGTGCGGTTTAAGCATCAAGGTGACTATGGCCTCATGGAATGAGTTTGGTAATGTTTCTTCTGTTTCTGGACTGTCTAGTCTGTTTGAGTGTGAAACAGAAGCCACTAGATTCCTCCCCCAAACACAGTTAACATGTCACTAAACATAGACACAAGCCCACACCTAATGACACTGTCTGAGCAACTGCCTAACAAAGGTAGCACCAACAGCACCTCTGA